CTGAACCTAATGTAAAATTCTGTCCATTACAGAGACTTCTAGAAGTGAAAATAAGGCATTTATATAGTGGAACTGTACGATACCTATTAAATACTTGTTTAATTGAGATCAAGTAAAGTTCTGATGGTTTATACACGAATGCTGATTGCTTATACATGAATGCTTGCCTTCTTTTATACACTGACAGACCTGTAAGGACCAACTCAGGATGCTCATCTAGAGAAGGTACTAAAGGAATGGGAGATTGCCTAAAGAAACAAGAGCTAGATCGAATAACGAAGACACAGTATCAGTGCTTTACAATACTGTGCTTAGTCAGCTATGATAATAAATTAACCTGATGATCCTGTTTTGATGCTGACTGATTATAGACGCCAACCAAAGGGCAGCAGGCTACTGTTGCTAAAGAACTGGTGGAATATACACAGTCCATGGGTGGCTATTTCAATACGGCAACCAATGGAACAACTTGATAAATGTCCTTTACCAATACATTCTAATACATAAAATATGCCTCTCTCTTCTCAAAACAGGTCAAAATGGTTAATTATATTTCACATGAAATATTTCCTAACCATGTACATTCTACATTCTCATTCTACTTATTAAATATAAATATGAGACTGCAAAGTAAATGCATAACTACATAAGACTGGCTTCCATAATTTTAAGCATGGATGTACATTCATATATTTGTAGAATATAATTAATTATTGGTCTATGGTTACATATTATTAAAATAAATGTGGGTACGCTTTTTCCTTTAAATGAATTAAATACAAACAAAAATAATATCTGGGCTTGATCAATCTAAATATGTCTGCCCTTTAATCAGGAGAAAAAGGAGTGAATAATTTGTTCCTTTCAGAAATGGTAATTACTTATTAAAGAAATACTTGAATGGTTAACCCACTCTTCATAAATAACTAGGACTTCTCTTCACAAGGCAGGGAAGTTGCTGACAATCTTGGAAATTAAGACACCTGTGTCAAATTACTTCTGTAATAAAATTTGCAATCAAACTAAAATTACAATGAACCTGTGTTTCTCTGGCTGTAGGCTTGCACTCCTTAGAACTTACTGGCAAAATGTGAAGCTATTTTGAGTAAAACAGTTTCTAAATAATTTCTTAGTCTACACAAACTTTTGTGTGTTTTCTCCCCTCCCCCAAAGACCCACTAAATATACTTTCAAGGTAGAAGAGACTTAGTGAGAGAGCTCACCAAATTTAATCTGTTGCCATGTTTGTTATCAAACAAGCTATTATTATTGCTGTTGTTGTTATTGTTATATTAGCTCATAAATATTAGAGCTGCAATAAACGTCAAGAGACCATTTCACATTCTGGCAAACCAAAGACATTATTTTCTTCAAAAACGCTTGATGTCAGCGGAGGTAAGTGATTTGCCAAAGGTCATTTACTACAAAAAGCTTGTTAATTTCTGACCTCCACCTTTATCGGAAGGATTGTTCTAGAGTCAGCCCTTTGCCTAAAAGGTGCAGTATCTTACTGAATAATTTCATGATCAGAACTTTCCTCTCTTGACAAGGGTTCCCTTTCCTGATTGAAAGTTTCCATCTGCGTCAGTGGTTTCACCTAGAAAGCTGGGCCATGGGAACCTCCTGGTGAACAAAGGGAAGATTAGCGGGGGGGCACTATATGTTGTCTTTTCAGTTGGAAGTTTTCCTTTGTGGACCTGTTCTACCACAGCTGGAGGATCTCAAGCCTGAGGGTGAGAAGAGGAAGGCATGGTGCAATTAGAGTCCCAGAGTCTGACCACAGACATGCCCAGGCATACATGTGCTAAATCAAAAGTCTGCACTAGAGCCAGCCCTGATCACCCAGCAGTTACAGTTTGGCATGTTCTGCTCCAGCAGCCGAGGTTCAGTTCCTGGGCGTGGAAACACACCACTCGTCTGTCAGTAGCTGGGCTGTGATGGTTGCTCACATAGAAGAACCGGAAGAACTTACAACTATACATACTAATGTACTTTGGTGGGGAAAATGGAAGAAAAAAGGAGGAAGATTGGCAATAGATGTTAGGTTAGGGTGAATCTTCCTCTACAAAAAAAAAAAAAAGTCTATGCGAATGGTCTTGATGCACATTTTAGTTTAGTCCTCAGAACCAGAGGTTAAACAACTCAGGCTTTTTTTACTGTCTAATGAGCGAGACAAGACTAGACAACTTCTAAGAATGCTTCTAGGTTTATGACTCAAGTCTTAGGCCACAAACTGTCTTTTGGCCTTATATTTCACTCTGCTATATTTGGTTTGAGCCCACTATGAAGGCCATGTAACAAGGCTGGTATTTTCTTCCATAACTCAAGCAAATTCCTAACCCCTGTCATTATGCCTACCTAATTCATCAATTTATATAACCTTCCAGGCCCCTGGGAAGTGAGTTTACAGAGAGTATAGACCACTGATTGACTGCTCCCTATAGCCATACCTTTTCCACTCCAGCATGCTGACTTTTATTTTTCGTTTCATAATATCTCTACCAAAAATAATAGCGAAATCCAAAGATATTTGAACATTTGGTATGTGAAATGCCCTGAGTAAACTGTAAATCTGAATAATAATTGCTACTTCCATTTGTATCATTAATCTTACATAAAATTTAATCTTTGGCTTGGGAATGTGTGGGTTGCTGTATGTTGGTGTAGTTGGGGAAGAGGGGGTTGGAGGTGATATATATAAAGCAGAGGAGTCCAGGGCCAACTGCCATAGCACCTAGAATGTTACAAGAACTCCATAATTGCTCAATGAGTAAATGAATGAATGAACCACTGAAATATTGACTCCAGATTAAATATTTAGTCCTTCTGAACATGTCATAATTTAAAATTGAAATCACAGAAGATCTATATTCCTGAGAGACTTTATACATTTTCTTGGAAAAATCTCCTCACATAACACAGTGATTGGCATTGTATCTGGTGTTCAGTAAGTACCAAATAACAGCAATACTAAGAGGAAAAGCAGCAGCAGTGCTAGACACTACACAAACACTCAGACAATATTATCTCATTTCTCCCTCATAATAACACTGTAAATCGGCACTGTAAACACAATACAGATGAGTGAAGTGAGAGACAGGGTTACATATCTTGCCAAGTTCACAAAACCAGTAAATTATAGAGGAAGAATTCAACCAAGGTGGGTCTTGCCCAAAGCCCTTGATCTAATAAATGAATAAATTCATGATAAAGTGAATGTGACTATACTGTGTTTTTATACTGGGGCAACTTGGAAAGGGTTAGGTAGTGTAAGCTTAATTTGTTGAGCGGACAACACTGTGAAGTCTTTGTTATAACAAAATCTTAAGGAGCCCAAAGTATCACTATGGCCTCAGCGAGCAACAAGAAAATATAAGAAAGTGAATCACTTGGAAAAGGATTCTAGAAACAGGATGGAAGAAGGTTCAAGAGAAACACACAAACATTATGGCATTAATTTCCCACATCTGGTTAATAGTCACCAATAGAAGGCAGTAAAACTGAGTCATTCGTTTTTTAATAATTATGCTAAAATTCTTATGTTTACATGAAACACTATGCTGAACGTCAGCTCCTCTTCCTTTAACTAAGATTCTTGGCCTTCTGCAGAAACTTAGAGCCATCACATCGCTCAACTATATTGTACCACAGATGTACAAATGGAACAGTTAAGAGAAACTCCTGTAGAAAATGCTGGATAAGCCCTCTCTTACCAGCAAATTTTTTTTTCTTTTTTTTAAATTCTCTTTCTCTCCCTTTTCCTCCTTTTTGACTCCCTTAATTTCTTTCTCATCTCTTCATATTTTAAATAACAATTACAAAATATGTTTTTGGCAATGCATACATTTCAAAGCCAATATTTTTACAAAGATGGTATATTTCACAAAGCACCACACTGGAACAACTGATATTGACCTTATAATTAGTCACCATAATTGGCTGACTAAATGACTCTGAAACAGAGCTATTGTCAATCACATTTTGTCCATGAAGAAATAAGTTCAATATGTTTAAGGGGCTGATAAATAACAAAGCTGGGGCAGGAACTGAAGTAGAAATACATAACATTCAACAACAGGCTGTAACTTTATAATACCAGTTGATTTGGGGACTAACTCAATCCTATCTCAGAAATGACTGCTTTTTGTAATACTGAGTGGGTGTCCAGTCTTTGAAGAAGCTAGTTGTGTGGATTGTGGCAGCATGCCAAATTTATTTGTTCCTAGAAGACAGTTTGAGGAGTTTAAAAAGTGAGCAACTTTTTTCTTCCTTCCTTATTAGCACCTACTAAAGAAGAGTAAACTTCCGGGTACTAAAATAAACTCCAAAGTAGAATTAAGCCTGCTGATGATTTATATATTAGTGTTAAACATTTTAATCTAAAGAATATAGCCCGAAGATGATTGCAAGGGCAAGTTGGAGAGGTTCTTTAGACAGAGAGAAACTGGGAATGTAAAAACTACAGGGAAAGAAAGGAAAATGAGAATGAAGCATTTAGAGGTGTCAGTTCTTTCTCTTTTGATTTCATCCTCTGTCTCTCAAATCTCCCCTTACCATTGTCATTACAGTTGGGCTACCATCTACATATGCGAACGTCCAGACTTCACTCTTTCATCTTCAACCTATGATAAAAGTTAAATGTCCCTTGCATTTATTAAACTGACAGATATAGTAAGTGTCTAAGTAGATAAAAGTCAAATGTCCCTTGCATTTATTCAACTAGCAAATATAGTAAGTGTCTAAGTAGCAATGGAAACCAAAGATGGCCTTGGCATTCTCAATGTATCTGTTTTACATTTCACCTTCCCAAAAATATCGTGCATGATATTTGAACCATAAAATGCTTGTGTCATTTGCAAAATGTCTAGTTATATCTTTTATTTTATTCCAACCAGTGCTAATGTGTCCTAAGAATCCACATATGGCTACCCTCTTAAGGCATTTGAGTGTGAAATTATCATCCACAATACCATCATAAGAGAGGAATAAAGACAAATTACCTGGGGTTAAGAGGATGACTGACATAGTGATGAGTGAGCATACAACTAAAATCACCAGCAGGGCAATAGCAATTCCCTTCCAGTTTCTCTGTGGAGGGCTGTTACTTCCCAGTTCCTACCGAGATAGAAAAAAAAAAGTTTCATAATTATACATGCTCCAAGAGAAATGTATTCATAAAGAAATGATTCAGTGCATGGCACAATCACAGTTTGAAAGGTGATTAGAATCCCTTTCTTCTTAGGGAGCCCATTTAATTATTCAAAGTTGCTTATATTATAGATGACTATCTTTTGGGGGCCAATCTTATTTCTCTAAGAGATAAACCAGCAGAGCTTTATGCCTGCTGTCCAAAATGTAGATTGTGTTAAAATGCATGGACTATAAACATTAGGATGATAGCCAAAATACTCTGCAAAATAATTATGGAAATAAAGTGTACCCATTTACATTTTTTCTTGCTACAATGGAACCTACAATAAAGATTTAAATATAAATATTCCCAAAGTACTATAGGCTACTTTTCTAACTGGTAAGGGGAAAAAAGATTAGAGATGGGAAAATGATTCAAAATGCCCCTCACTGCAGAGCAGTGCACATTTGTCAACACAACAGGTCCTGTTTAAACAGTTCCCCCACCACTCATAAAAATCAACAAGACGTAGTAACTAAATTAAATGAGTGCTTCTATATCAGTGGTTAATGGCATCCTCTCCCTGGGCAGCATGCATGATATTGGCAAGGAGGTAAGATTGATAGGGAAGGATAAACCTGAGCATCTCTCACAATACATACAGTAAAGCTTTTCATTTTCCAGATGATCTGTGTTCTACCCTGTGTGAACTAGAAATGTGTGAGCATAATTCACCAAAGCAAAGCACAGACCATACTGGTTTGAAATGACTGCCAGATTCTCTTTGCAATAAAGTTTATAAAACACTGAGCCTCTCGTTTCTTTCTTCCTACCTCAATCCGTAATCTCTTTTCCTTCTTTCCCAATGCAGCCTTCTTTATTTAGAAATAGCTAAGTAATTTGGGGAGAAATGAAACCAAACGTCAAGGTATCCAGTTCATTATGTGTACACAAATCACCAGGAAGCCGTAAAGCAGTCCTGATTTAAACAAAGATAAATAGAATAGCAAACATTTAACAAATTATAAATGGGTTCCTGTGACTCACAGATTAAAACATTGAAGTAAATTTTCATATAGTGACGTTGGCTTTCAATTCTGCCATAAACACCTTGGACTTAAAGAACTAGGCCCTAAATAAATGCAAGAAGAAACCATGCGGAAGAAGTACTTTGTTCTTGTTTGCCTTTTACTCTGATGAACAAATCTAGTAGAGGTCAATTCCACCCTTTTTTTAAATGACTCACTCCATATCTCTTTTTCATGCTTGTTATACAACTCTATTCCTCTTGCACTTTGGTTAGAATTTCCATTAATATTTTCCATATAAGTCAAGACAGTAGGTCCTCAAATCATCAGCGCTAGACTAACGACATCAAAACAAGCAATAGTTGTCATAAGAGTATAAACCCTTTTCTGGAATGCAATGCTGCTGGAGGTTTCTAGGTGAGTTTCTGCATCAGAATCTGTGTAGTGTGATGGCCAGTTTTTCTCCATCTTAAGGTGCTACTTCACAACTACTGAGAACCAGAGTGACCCGTTAGAGAGGTCAATGCTGTAAATCAAAGCCTACGATGGTCAGAAAGTTGTGAAACACTCATCTTAGTCTCTAAGAGAGGATGAAAGAAGGGACAGCATATAAGAGAAAGTGGGTATCTGGGCCAAGAATCACAAATCCTTTCAAATGTACTAACTCTAATGCAGGTTTGCCGGGTATTATTGCTTCACAGTGTAGGAAAGAGGAAAAAGAATAAATATAAGCAATTATAACTGACTTCTTAGTCCAGTAAAAGTATCAAGAGTAAATCATAATTTTAAATCTACTGACTCTGATCTTGATTTACTGTCACTAGAACTCCAGACAAATTATTAGAGAAATTACTTCAGTGTGCTTTTTAGTTTTTGAATATTATGTAACCATGTAATGTCTACCAGCCATTGTCTAACAGTAGTAAGAGCTTAAATATCTTATGTGTTTGGTATTACGCTAAATACTTTATATTCAGAATCTCACATAATCCTCATAAAAATCAGATGAGATTTCAATCATTTTGACAAATTTGAGGATGTGGGATTAAGAGAGATTAATAACAAATCCACTTACTCTTAATAAGTGGGAGGGCTCAGGGTCCAGTCTATAAAGCCCACTTTCAGAAACCACACTGAACCACTACAATATGCTGTTACAAAACAGATGTTTCCAGAATAAATGTGTGACAATCAATAAATCAGCGAATCAAGGAATGATTTGGATCCCTACATAATGAAAGTTGTACTTTAATACCTTTTATTTGATAAAATTCACAATTATATAAAAGCTAACCTGAATTCTATAATGCTTTCAAATAAATTTATACTTCCCCAGTCTACTGTGACAATTTTTTTTTTTTTTTTTTGAGGAAGATCGGCCCTGAGCTAAATACTGCCAATCCTCCTCTTATTGCTGAGGAAGACTGGCCCTGAGCCAACATCTATGCCCATCTTCCCCTACTTTATACATGGGACGCCTACCACAGCATGGCGTTTTGCCAAGCAGTGCCATGTCCGCACCAGGGATCCGAACCGGCGAACCCCAGGCCACCGAGAAGTGGAACGTATGAACTTAACCACTGTGCCACTGGGCCAGCCCCCACCATGGCAATTTAAAAAATGGTAAAACATGTTTGAGAAAAAAATATTTTTCTGTTCGTAAAATGAAGTGCATAAGAATGTGTGGCTCCTCTAAAACGACTCCTCAATGGCCAAGGCGTCTACAAGTCCCTGTTTGGAAACTGCAGACTTAACGAGCTCTTACTATAATTCTCCCCTTTTCATCCACGTTACATTCTACTACTATAATAATATTTCCGAAGCATGGTTTTATTTATGTCACATTATTTCACAAAGTCCTTTAATATCCCTACACTATCTAAAGAATCAAATGCAAATGTGAGAATCCAGGATAACAATTGTCTACCGCCAAGCTCCAGGTTCTTCATCCAGCTTGATCTCTTTTGAGAAACAGCACTAGCCCATACCGCTCTGATTACCGTTTACTACATACGCCTCAGGTGCTTGAAACTTCACATTATCATTCCTAAATCTTCTCCATCCAATCCCTTTCTCGTGTATCAAATTATAGACACTCATAGTGTCTATATATAGTCAATCATTCAGCTATCATGCTCAGATGTCTCTTCTCTTGGGAATTTCCCCTAATTATGAGAGCCAGATATGATTTTCCTTTCTGTGAAAGAAAATACCTGAACCGTATTGTAGCAATAGGCGGAATCCAGCTCTGCTACTTCATAGTTACGAGGTTGCAAAGATGCTTCTACACTTTTCCAAGCTTCAGATTTTTTTTATCCGAACAACCAGAAAAATAATGATAATTATTTTTAAATGTTGTGAAGATTAAAACAAATTATTCAAACAAAACTCTTAGTTAAATGTACAATAAGAAAGTTCACACAGTGAACTGCTTGGAATGGTCTTCCTCAAAAGACCTGCACGGACCACTCTTTCTCATCATTTAAGACTAATCTCAAATGCTCCTTCCTCAGAGAACCCTCACCTGATCACCCACGCTAAAATTACATTCCGTATTCCCTTCTATACCCTCATTTTGCTTTATTTTTCTTCATAACATTACATTTTCAAGTATGTCATCTATCATGTTATATTTAATCATATGTATATAACAACACTTTAAGCTGTTTAATGATAGATATTAAGCTGTTTAGATGTCCATTTTATCTGGCTCAGCTCTCCAGAATAGAAGCTTCAGGATGTGAGTAACCTAGTTCATCAGGTTCTCTGCTATATTCCCACATTTTGAAGAGCGTTTGGCACATACTAGCTATGCCATGGATGATTTAAAAATTAATGGATGAAGGATAGAAGCTATGATGATGATAATGATGACGGTGATGGAGGTGGTTGTGATGGTAATGTTTAAAACCATGTATAAAGAGTCAGCATATTCCTGTCAAAACATGAGTAGTCTCAAAAAGTAATAACAATTAGAGGAAAATATAAGGAGAAAAATCATTGAGATGTTAAAATTATGTCTATAGATTGGATGTGGTTTTGTTTTGATAAAAATAGATTTTCTTCAACCAATGTCTCCTTTCTAAGAACCACAGGGAAGCTTCTTTAAAATATCTTCATTGCTACTTGAGAAGGTGAACTTAGATTTTCAGCATCTAATACATTGATTCTTAGTTTGGTTCTCAACACAACCACACCAATCATCCAAAAACTCAACTCCTCACTTTTCTTTCCTACCTATACTTATTGCTTCAAAATCCTTCTGATGTGCTTAAATCTTCACAAAAATAGGCTGTTAATGTTTCTGAAATAAATTAAATAAGTTCTTCAGATTAAAAACAAAAAGGGACAACACATTCCATCAGTTCATTTTCTGTTAAATAGCTCAAAAGTTTGAATTATTTTTATTTAAATGATTTTACTTTACTCAGGGTGTTTACATTCTCAACAGTAAATAGTTTTAACAGTAAAATAACCCAGAGACATTTACACTGAATAATTGGAAAATATCTTAAAGGAAATTAAAATACTTTAAAGGTTCTATATTGTTTCATGATATTAGGAAACATAGAATTTTAGAGGTAAGACTCTAAAGACACCTTGGAAAAATTCCAAATTGGTAAAAAAATGCTTTTATATCATTCCTAAGAAATGTTTAGCTAGCTCTGGCTTGAAAATCCTTGAGATATGGGGATTCAACAGTTAGCCAATTCTCTTTAAACAATTCTATATCACAAAGTGTACTGGAGTATTTGAGGGTACCGGATACTACACCAGATGCAGCTGGGAATGAAAATTATAATAAGAACCGTCTTCAATGAGTATATACCCTAATGAAGATTTTGCTAACCACTAATATAATACATGACTTTATAAATAAGGTTAAAACAGGAAATCACAAAATTTTTCTATGGAAAATGAGAAAGAAAGATATTAATTTCCTTACATTGATATAA